CCCGGCCTGCGCGGCTGCAGCGGCCGCCGGTGGGTATGACGGGGTTTGTGGTGTGTTCGTGTGCGTGAGGCGTCTGCTGTCCCTCGGTCCCCGTCCTCTCCTGGCCCCCCAGCCTCCGCCCTGGTTGACAAACCTCGGTAACATACATCCATTTCCCCTGAACGATTTCGTTCTCCGCCCCTTGCAGCTTTGTGTACGTGTCTGTTTCGGCGCATAGGAGAATGGGGCTCAAAAAATGTTTCCTTGGCTTGCTTGCTTACACAAAAAAGAGAAACGTGAGGTTTCCCCCTCAGATCTGAAGACGGTGCTGCAGTGTTTTAGGTAGAGGATGGAGTGCGTAGAAATATGCTGGTGAGGTATGCGACAAAAAAAGGCTTAGGTGGTTTTTGCGTGTGTTAGAGTGCTTGTGTACGGGGATCTGTCTGGGAAGCTAATATGTTTGTTTGGGTTTGGATTTTTGTGTGTGCTTTTTGTTTATTTGCTTTTGATTGCATATAGGCGATGTGGAATGCTGAATATAGTCAGTTTGTGCATCAGGTTATTGCTGTTATTGTTACACAGCTTGTTGATTGACTGTATCTTGAAATTTTAATGAGGAAGGATACAGGATTTCATCTGAAAAGCTGCCACTGAAGAAAAGGGCTCTTGTCAAAGTTAAAAGAGAGATGTAGAAAACTTCCTATTATGTAAAGGGAATTGATCAGCATTCAGTGCGCATGGACTCTGAATTCAGTTTGTCTTAGGAACACGGGAAGTATTCTTAGCTTTTTGTAGATGTATATTTGGTTTTGTGTGTGTGTCTTTGAGAGAGAACTTAGCTATCAAAGAGGGTGTAGGGGTAACTAAATATCCATTAAGGTTTTTTTTTTTTCTTCTTGGAGGTTGAGAGGCATTAAAATATTTATAATCCATGACTTCATATGAAAATGTATATGCATTTAAATAAATAATGTTATTTCTGAAACCATTTTATGTGTGAAAAATGAATCAGATCTAGCTCAATGAGTAAGCTATCTTTTTGTTTGAATGAGTGATTAATAAAATATTAGAATATTGCAAGCTAAATATGTAGCTTTTTAATGGAAATAAACACATTCTGCTATCTAATTTATGGCTGGCATATCTTTCTTCTTCAGACCTGCATTGGAATGAAACGGCAGGCGGTATAGAGGGAGTACTGGCAGATGAAGAGAATACATTTCAGCAGAACAAAAGCAGTAACAGTAAAAATAACAGCTACAACAATGCAATCCAGAAAGAAATCACACTGCCTTCAAGACTAATCTATTACATCAACAGAGACTCTGAAACCCCTTACCATATCCTGGATACTAGGGCAAGGCACCAGCAGAAACACGACAAGGTAGGGTAAAAAGAGGCTCATCTGCAGAATTTTCAGAATGGTAATATGTGATGTGGAACTGTGTTGAACGTTTTATTCTGTAGATCTCCGAGACGTAATGATGGTCCTTATCACCATTTTTAGGAATTAGAGGAGGACATGTAATTAAACAAGACTGTAATTTCCCATGTGTTAATTTGAAAATAATTATTTTGAATTTCAGGATGGTTCAGAAGCTGAAATGTAGATAAAATGAATGGGAATTATGTAAACTTGACTTGTCTGATCAGTGTAGATTCCAGTGTCTTGACATGGTATACCATTATCAACAAAATGCTTCTTCCAAAATAGCTCTAGACTGCAGAAATGTCTGCATAGGGAGTTACTTTAGAATCCTGAACTTACAGCGTGAGTTACTTGGCTTTGAGTGTATCATGCACTACCTAATAAATGCAGTATTGGTTTCCTGCCAGTGTATGACCAGTGAACACCACTGTGAAGTGTTACCAGTTTTTGTCAAGCAATATCTGCATTTTTCATTTTTAATGACAAGATCTAATATTTCATTTTGTATAGATGCAGATAGTGTGTTTTTTTTTTTTTTCTGAAATTGCATGGGATTGAATGAACTTTGGTTTTGTGAAATAACTTGGTAAAGAAGTAAACCTAAACTATATCGCTTAGGAGGCACTCTTTAAAATTATTCCATCCTATTTTTGTAATTTTTTTATTAAAAAAATTCATTTATTCCCACAGATTAAAAAGATAAAGTGAAGGTAAAGATGTTTTGTATAGGAAGAGCTTGTTGTGGCAGAGAAGAGAGACAGTAAAGCAGATCACTGTCTATGATACTACTGAAGGACTTAGCTATAATGCAGTTCCTACCTATTGAATTGCATTTCTTTTGAAATTTTAGAAAGTGAGTTTATTATGGATTGTACGTGCTTTTGATGATATTATGTGCCATTTCAGATGTGGAATTAATAAGGAGGCACTGTATAATCTTTGAAAAAAAAGATGATAGTTGTACAGTTTTGATGTTTTAATGTGAAGAAATGTTGCTTCCTAGCTTATTGAACTCGGATACCAGTCTGTGCCTTTGGATGCATCTAAATGCACCAATGTGTTATGGATGGCACAGAAAAATTGCTCGATTGTTGGAAACTGGAGCTACTTAAGAGAATACTACATTCAGAACTAATACCCCTTTAAAATGAGACCACTTTTAAAATAAACTTAAATGCTAGGGACTTTCTGTTCCCGTCTTTGGAGAGGGATGTGGGAAGAAAGGGATTTGCAAGTGCTTGCAGACCTACTTTTGGGAATAGTGCTTCCTCCATGTTTCTACATGAGTTTTTTTCTTGGGAATCCACAGAGGAGAATGTCTGCCAATCTCTTTACTTACCCAGCATTGCCACAAGAACATTGCTGCTGTTGCCTGTCCTTCCTATGCCCTACCTTATCTTTACCTGTTGGGGTAAAGCTCTGCAGAAATCAGTGCTGACAGAATTGGTATTGATTTCCTTGGGTATGCTTGCTGCTGAGTACTGTGTAAAGTGGATCTCCTTTCTCCTCACTTTCTCCCTTTTAAGCATAGGGAATGCTAATGCTGCAGTTTTTCCCATAGAACGTTTTTTTTAAGCTTGGGGCTTCATGGACAGTGACATTATGTTGACTTCATTCTTCTGGCATGAACCTTCTATTGCTTTGATCCATTTAACTGAAGGAAAGGGTTGATTATGTTCCTTGTCTGGATTGATTTTTGCATGTCTTCTAGAGCACCATAGAGGGCTTGCCTTCCCCCCCCCCC